GTTGACTATTGATCAAACGCTGCGCAATAAGAGTCAACAGTATAGAGCAACAGTATGGTAAGATTTATTTGACGTATTGAAAAATTAAAAAAATGTTTTCGTTCGGATAATCAACCCGTGAATTTATCTTCTTGCGCAAAAAAACATTGGCTTTTTATTGATTATAGTGTTTGGCATTGAATAAAAATGATGCTTAAATATAAAAATAACTGAAAGACGACCGTATGATTAATGAGCCATCGAACGAATGAGCCGCGAGCTGTATTTATAGCATCGTTTGTCAAAAGTCTTTCCACCAATCGAGAGAATCTCTTCGTATTAAGTATTTGGCAAATAGTCGTTTGGCTTTTGAGACTCTCCTGTCATTGCCGGGCAACATCACTCAAGTAAGAAACACCACTGCGCTCGTACATCTTATGCGAGATTCATCTCTTTACTTCGAGCCGCGCAAAAGCGAGCTCGTGAAAAAGACTGGGGAGTCGGCGCTTGAGTAACACCTGTTTGTTTAGTACGAGATGTTATCGAGCTCTCGACGAGGCTTCGTCAAGTGAGTAGTACTTATGCATCGTCGTAACCAGGTTCTGCCGCGACTCTCCGTCACTCTGATCAGAAATTTATTCATTCTCTCTCTCTCTCTCTCTCTCTCTCTCTCTCTCTCTTTCTCTCTGTGTTGCGAGCGCGCGCCACTTAAAACCATTGAGCGAATGGTTGCCGTGTTTAGCAACGTAACCATCGAATAAAAGAAAAGGAATGGCGATTCACACGTTTTTACTTGGTTTTTTTTCTTCTTCTTTTTAATTATTTTGCTAGTCTTTTTCTCTATTAAAGTTGCTCTTATCAACCGCCACGCTTTTAAATACAGCCTCGCCGCCTTTCGACATTTGAGTCTACTACACTTCTGATCGTTAAAGTAGTACAATTAAAATTATGATCCATTTTAATTAAACCTTTAATATAATATGGGAATTAAATAAATGTCGATAATCGTTGAATCATGTTATAAAGAGTGGCGCGCGCGTTCAGATCGTTTAATATTGTTATAACTATGGGCTACGCGTTTTTGTCACAATGCGAATGATTCTTTATGTATGACAACGTTATTTGCTCGTAAGAAAGTTATTCGTCGATTGAATTGTTATAATTATTTTACCAATGATGCATATAATATCATCATCGGTGGCTAAAGGCTGCGATATGTAATTTAAGTATGACGAGCGCGAAGACGGCAGCGACACATTTTCCCAGTATTTTGTTAAACTTTGCGCAACAAAGCCGTAAATACGAAACAATTCCTTTCGAAATATTTAAAATAATCTCACTCGTGCATGGCAATTGCGCCCCCAAAGTTCGTTTTATTTATTACTAATTCGCTCCGTTCAAACAAGCGAACAGCGTAAAGAATAAAAAGCTAGCCGCACTGTGCTAGGAGGATAATTTTATTATTCTTAATTATTGGTAAGGAAACTCGGTAACCGCGTGAAACGAATGGATTCCGGGAATACGAATCTTTTTACGCGCCCTCTTTTTCTTTCTCCTTTGCGCGCGATTCTAAACTAACTCTCCCATTACATAAGCACAACCTAACCTTCGGTCGCGAGTAAGTCAAGGCACACGAGAGCGTGCAAATGTATAAACGACGAGCGGCCCGTTTTTTCTCATTTTTTTTCTTCTCTCTTTCGATCCTGGCTCAATCTCCTTGGATACGCGTTTCAAACAGACGTTTCGACAAAGTGCCTGTAACCATGAACGTAAGCTCGTCGAACGATTAGCCCATTTATTTCCCATAGTAGCGAGGCGAATGAAATTGGTGGGGTGGGGTGGGGTGGGGTGGGGAGGGAGGAGGGGGGGAGGAGGGGGGTTGAAAGTGAAAATACAGCTAAGACGATGCCAAGTTTATACTGTCGTTTATGCGCAGGAGGCGCAAACGTCATTGCACATAAAATTTTGATAATTCGCACGTGCTCGGTGGGCTTTCCATTACAAAGAAATCTCTCCTTCCTTATCATTTTCTTAAAATATTTTGGCATTGATCGTTGAACAAAAATTCATTCGCTTAAGCTAACTTGGCTGGCTTTAGCTTTCAATCGGCGCTCGCTCATTCAGGGACAGCGCGCGCTCCGCAACATTTCACTGCGCGTTCACGAGCTTCAAATCGGCTTCATATGCCGAGAATAATATAATCCGCTGTTAACGAGACACCGGGAGTATCGGCTACGCTCGCTCCACTCTATAAGGCATCGACAAATAAACAATTGTATCGGGGTCCGTTATATAAAGTTATATAAAAATTAATCGCTAATGCGTGTTCGACGATGCATCGGGCTATTGGGACATTTTCCTCAAGACACGTGGATCGCATAAAGTTGCACGAGCCATTTGAAAAGTACGAGCTGAGCCGTTGTTAAATTTTACGCGCACACATGATATAATGCATCCGGTGCTTATAAGAACAAGGCCAAAAATTATTGGTTTTCGTTCGTTAAGCTCTGCACGGCGTAAT